AGTAATTTAGAAACGGAATAATTACATATTTTCTAGAGTAATTTTAAAGTAATTCCCTTACATTTTTTTACCTCACGGGTTCCTTGTAATCCGTTACATTTTCGACAGGACCAACTCCCCCCCCCCCCCCCCCCCCCCCTCACCGTCCCTTCTAAAGAAAGTTTTTTTTTTTCGTAAAGTCGAGGAGCAGTGACACTGTCACGCGGATTGACTTGCGCAAAGGGAGGCTTGCCACTCTTCAGTTCCGCGAAGCCTTTTTTTGCAACACCAAGCCCCTGAATTCATTTTTTTAGACCATAAATACAATGTCAAGAAGTAAAAAAAAACATTTCTACAAAAAAAGAAAAAAAAAAGGGGGGGGGGGGCAAGTTATATCCGCTTTTTTAGTCCCTTTGTTTTTTCTTTGCGATCGAAGACGGGGAGAGGAGAGCAAGTGATTGAGGTACGCACGGCAAACGTACGTTTACATTTCCTGGTTTTAATCGGCGTTCTAATTAATTGTTGTTGTGAGTGTACTTTTTTTTCGATTACTTATATTTATATACTGGAAACTTTTTTTTTGCATCCACCAACATCTCAACCGAGGCTTGACATGTTCAGAACCAAAGGAAGAAGAATATCGAGCCAAACCTTATTTATTATTCAATTATCGCCTTACTGTTACAAGTATGTCTTGCTATATCCTGGCAATATGAGAAGGTATGGACATACAACAATTCTTATCATAGTTTCGATTAGGTGCATCATGACTTCTACTGTTCGCGATTTAGACAATGGAGAATTGTAGTAGATCGGTGCGATGACTCCGAGAAGGATACCCGATAATCCGCCGCCGCCTTTTCGCATTCGTCATATTGTTATGGGTGGTATCGGAGGTATCGGAGCGATCTATATAAACTCTCGAATATCAGGCGCTGGCTACAGGGACGAAGCCTTGCTCTATCTTTGAGGTAAATGGTACTTCCATTGCTTCGCTGCAGAAGCCTAATGCAGAGCATATAATATTCGTGGGGAACAATAGGGCACTTTTATCTAGTGCCTTAGTTCAAAGGGTGTTCAGGGTAGCAGTTTACATACCGAATAAGAATTAGCGAAAAATGTCTGACGAGACTTCGAGAGTCAGCTGTTTCTCAAAATACTCAGGGTCTTTAAATGGAACAGGTTGCAACAGTAAGAACTTGAATAACCCTCTTCTCTTTGTTTCTTAATTTAAGACAATATTGTTCAAAGTAACGCCACGAAAGTAACGGATTTTTTTTTAGGTAACGGTCAGTTACTTTTTCGGGAGGGTATTGTAATTGTAATAAAATAAAATTTAGCCTTGAGTAATTGTAAATGTAATTCCTTACTAATTTTCAGTAACGTGTACAAGTCTGGAAATGTCCGGACGCAGCCTGGCGTCAAGCAATAGCCGCCGATGCCGACACCGACGGGCTCCCGACCCTCGATGCAGCCTACTACAGTAGAGATCAGTAATTACTGCTCCAAGTACCTTTGTGGACCCCACCTTTGTTTGAGGGCCAAGGTCTGCGCATTTTCCAACACAAAACAGTGAGCCATTGTCGAAAAATGGGCACCCATTCCATCATTGCCCTTGCTTGTAGCATGTGTGGCCTTAGCCACGCCCCGCTTGTGTTTTTTTCATACGGGTGCAATGAGTTCAGTTTATAAACAACACCCGACTGGGAGTGTGGATCAATTCGTTAGTTGATTTTTCACCGCTCATATTGCATGAAGAACGTTAAAACCGTATTTATTAGAATTATATTCACTATGTCATAAATGACATATTGCATGCCTATTTTAGTCTTCCTGTTGTGATGCCTACAGAAATATGAACACGGTAAGCCTCTTGAAGAAAAGTAATTCTTAACTACCTACTTAAACAGTATAATTACTCTCGGTGACAATCACGAGCTCGATAAGGTGGTTCACCATGCCAAGCCTGTGTCCTAAAAGAAAGAAATACACCCGAAATATTAAAGCAGGCATTTTTTACTTTTTCCTGACTTTCTTCAGCTCAAGATTTTGATTTCACGGCAAAAATAAATATTGCGATTAAAGCATCACTCGAATAATTCGAAGCTTAATCGATGAACTGCCCAGTCCCAATATACGTTAAGTGAGAACGGAGGGTGGTCGGGAAAGTCTCGTGAGAGTCGCTAGCCCTCACCAGTGAAACAGTGTAGCTACGTGGGACCGGACATTTCATCGAACACCGTTTCATCGAAGCCGTTTCATCAAAGCCGTTTCATCGAACGCCGTTTTATCGAACGCCGTCTTATCGAACGCCAGAGTGGCATTCCCGCTTCCTGAAGCTGGTCGGAGGTGCTTATCCCGGGTTCTGGAAGTTTTTGACTTGCATCACCGCAGAACATCAATTGACGGAAGACAAGCTGGAGGCGATGCTGAGTTCCCAAGAGCCTCCTCCCACAAAGAAGGCCATAGCGGCAAGAAATGAAAAGGTCCGCCTTTTTTTATGCAAGCTTCGGGCAGTAAAGAACTATCAAAAGAATGGCATGAGAGGCTAGGAGGCTCACATGGCTAAAGTTGTTGCGCGTGCGCAAAACCTAAGTCTCCTTCTGGCCTCCATGAGTTGGAGTGCGCTCTTACCGCGAGTGCGACTTTTTATTCATTTGTTACAATAGCTTCAAGGCCCATCGGGTAAATACAGAGGGGGTGAACTAATAAGCACAACGTGCGAAACAAACATAAAAATCGGTAAAAATATTCTCATGGGTTACTTGCATCAAAATAAATGGACCTTTTCCGAGAAGCGTTCTGCTCACGCGCGAGCGCCCGATGCCAAGTGGTGGAAGTCGGCACGAAAAATCGAGGAAATTCGGAATGAGGCAGTGGATGAGCGAGTAGAACACGTAATTGCAGCATATATATAATTGTGTTACACAAAAAAAGAAAGTAAAGGGAAAGAAAATCACGACGTTTGGGTGGACGCCACAGATTCCCCTTTTAAAAGTCGCGTTGGGCACGGGACGCAGCTCAGAGAGCGAAGAAACTGGTAGCGTAGCTTCCATTATCGATTGGAAGTGCAGGTAGGTCACTTCCTCGATTTTTAGTTCGTGCAGCCACCACCTGGTGCCGTCGGTATTTGGAAAAGGTCCATTGTAACAGCTACAAGTTTGGTCATGAAAAAAAACCTAACGATGAAATGAGTGAATTGCACGAAAATGCACTCAATCCGTGCATAAGCGAGCATCTTTCACACTTTTTATTTAAAAGACATTCGATGAAACGGCCGTCATCGATTCGATGAAACGGCGTTTCATGAAACGTCCATTTTTTCGATGAAACGGCTTTCGACGAAACGGCGTTCGATGAAATGTCCGGGAACCGAAGTTTTTCATATTTGATGTGTAAATAGTGTCGGCTACGCCTCAAGCAAAAGCAAGCCCATCGTCTGGAACATTTCGCCAAAGCGAAATGTTCCAGAAAAAGCGAAAACAAAGCGTCTGGTTCTCGTGGTTTGCGCACTGAGTGTACCGAGGGCTCATTAGGCTGCATAAAAGGAATTTTATTTCGTGGTACCCCCCCATCGCTAATGATGGAAATGAAAAAAAATGCAAAATGTTCCAAACGATAGCCTCCTTTTTATGCGTATCTTTATCCCTTTTCTTCGGCGTTCCATTTTCTTGTGTTTGCTCTCTTTGTGTCTTGTAGGAGGTCGAAAATTCGTCAAGCTGCGTTCAGTAGCTTGGGCGCCGCGATCAATCTGGGATGGGAACTTATCGCTGCAGGATTTCGCATGGTGATATTTAAGAAGGTCTGCGAACGAGGCAACGAACAGACGCACATCCGATTTTAGGCAGCGTGTTACGCAAATTTGAAACTGCTGTTTGACGTCGTGCTTCGATAGGCCTTGCGCGTCAATTCTTCCTCGTCCTTTCTGCTTTTCATCCTCCTCCCTCGCAATGCAAAGCAATATAGCTTAATTCGTTTCCCTTTAAAGACAGCATGTCACAAAATTCGAGAATGAAGCACACCAATATTATCTGAAGCTGACAAACGTGTTTTATGATCCTCAATGTCTGGTGTAGGAATAGATAAATAAATATTGCAGATGTAAAAGTAAAAAATTTGCTTCGTTTTTTTTTTTTTTTTTGTTTTTTTTGTGCGTGGAAGTTTTGGGCTTCTTTTTGTGTCCTCTGTGTTCCCACCTAATTTGTTTCATGCGTTTGTATCGACCGTTACGCCACAGTAGAAACCTATCGGAACCTAACAACTTTAGGTAACTCAAACACAAGTTCATTCAGTAGCAGAATACTAGCTGCTACGTCGTAGCTAGAGTTCCCTGTTTTCGCAGTTTATATATTTTTTCTCGAATTTGGGGCCATTTTCCTTCGAGGTTTAATTTCCCACACAAATCAGGTGCTTTGTGGGTGAATTTCTATAAGTTTAACCACTTTACACAAAAAAACACCAAATCTGTAGAAAAATACTCGCAAAAACAATTCCCCGCAATTCGAAAAAAAAATAAAAAGAAACACCCCGGAACCGCCGAACTTCAGTGGCTGCCAAGCTAATTGTCCCTCCTTTCCCCATTCATTTTTACCTCCATTTTTCTCCTAACGATTTCACGTCGGTTGCTTTGCGGTGAGAGTTCACTTGTCAAGGTCAGAGTTCTCCCGGAGAAGGAGGGTGCAGCACAACAATGTAATCTTGATTCGTTTTTTTTTTTTTTTTTTTGAAGGTTTGGTTGTTGAGATTGCAAGGTATCTTGTACTGGTGAATAACCTTTGTAGAAAGTCTATTTAGTGTTTGAACATAAAAGAATACTACAGCCACCGTGATTGGTTGAAATGTGTAAGCAGAATTCAGCCGTAGACTTTCTGCATCTAAACGGGGGCGCATCGGCATTGTGCTCTAGGCGGAACCTTGACCCATATAAAACCCGACTGCCGCCAGCCCAATCGTCACAGTGACTTCAGCAGTTCCATCAAGCAGACTCTATTTCCGAAGGGCCTTCGAGTACCTGAGTAGCCATGGCAGAAAAGGAATCGCCCTATGACGAGTTCTCAGGGCTTAAGTTCATCGAAGAGCTACTCCGTGACGGTGACGAAGACCCGGGACACAGCTGGCCGTCCAGTAGAGGGTCTCCAGGAGGTGCCGGCAACGCGAAGAACGGTGTTTCGGACGGCGCAACGATGTGCCGGGTGTTGTCACAGGGGTGTTCTTGCGGGGATCCCAGGGATTGCAGCTTGACAGACATCCTGCAAGAGGACGGCAGTCAGATCAGCGTGGCTACCGGAGGAAAGTGAGTGTGCGCTTGGATTGTCGTCCACGGCGGTTCTGGTCTTTTTATGGAACCAGTCGCAACCTCCATCGTTTCTAGAGCGTTGTTTATCGTTATCACAGTGGCTTCGTCGATTCAATGTATTGTGCTTGTCACGTTTTGCCAAAGAACATGTATATAGGGGGTATTACTAATTGAAACTCCTTCGTATGTGCTGAGCAGGTTTCCGTGCCTCCACATCGCCATCAGTGGGCTGCTGGAGGACCGGAGGTACCTGCTAGCATTGGACTTCTGCGAGATGTTCACTGACAGGGACCAGAGGTTTCTAACATTTACTGGTAAGTTTTTTTTATTATTATTATTCTTATTTTATCTTCAAAGGGCCTGTTCTCTCCAAGATGCAAGAAATTAACATTAGAGGCCTGCTCCGTAATCGATGCTTAATATTAAATTTTTTTACGCCACTAATAATTAAAGTTTAAGTAAGGATGCGGATGATCTGCTTCGCCATGGATATTTAAGTCTTGCGAAGGAACAGACGATTTGAACAGAAATTCGATGCTTTCCTGGAGATTTGGTATTATACATTCCTCTCTGATCTTACTGTACCGGACTAAATATAATTGTTAATAATTTCAAAGCCAACTGTTTTGTTGTTCATTCGACTTTAGTGTTTCCTTGCTTTGAGTAGCCAAGGTCGGTCTATTTGCTTGCCTTATCAGACAGATGCGTTTGCCTTCCAAACCAGGGACCATTTGCTAAACAATGGCGGTGGCCGGTATCTCTTTCTGAGGCTAAATCTACCGCAAGAGGGATTTTGAGGTCACGTAATCGGCACCCTAGAGAAAATAAACTACAGCTTTCTTGCGTTACAGGTAATTGGTTTCCGAAAGTCCTAACTCGCCTCGACAGTTAAAGTACGATTTTGCCACAGGAGAGAGGTGGAATGGAAGGCTTTAAATGGGAGTGACATGTACTGCGTTATGTGGAAGGTCATGCTAAGTGAGGCGGAGCTTAGGTCTGCTGAGCGGAATTTCTGGAAACCTAAGTAATTTCTCCCCACGGAGCCGGTCCCGTGACCTCGGGGTCACTCTTGAGCGAACTCGTTAGGTGTTCGAATGAATTGTGGACTTAAACTAATATACGCCCCCGTTCTCCCCCAGAGCCGTACTACATGCCGCGTCCGAACCACCTGGAGGGCCGGGACTGGATGAAGAGAGTTCTCTACTTCAATCTCACGTCCATAGTCAACGGAGGACTTCAAGAAAGCGGGGTGAGTGGCGTTGCGTCAATTGGGTTTACATTCTTGGACAGTTTATTGTTATTTCCAATTATGCGACGTGTGCAAGCTATAATGACTGTAACGCAACAAATATATATTTGCATAACATTAACTGCGCTGTAGGCTCGACGCGGAGTGCTTGCACCAGTTAGTTCGTTTAGTGGTGATTTTTTTTCTTCCTATTGTTAGATGTCTGTGGACAGCGCAATTATTTTACAGCGACAGCTGTTAAAAACAAATACGATTCCAACAGCTTAGGACGTTGACCGTGGATATTGCCAAATGCTCGGAGGAAGACTACTTCCGCCAGCTTCAGCATTTGATACTGAGACAGCAGCGTGTTAAGTGAGCGCCTAACCGCCGCTACGCCACTGCTTTGACAATGTTTTCAATAAGCTATATATATATTCTTTTTTTTTTGCAAAATACGTCATCAAATTTGGTCGCCGATAAAGACTAGCGCGTGTACGACGTCATGCCAAACTCGCTCTTTGTCGATGCGCAGGACTCGCCTGGCAGTACGCTAAAAAGACATAAAAACCGGCCATCTACATTGCTGGATTAACGTTTTGCTGGCGACTTGTTTGTTGTGGTCATAGTAATCGGATAGTCTGTCCTGTATGTGTTCTTGGAAACTTCCTTTTGCTCACTAACTAGTCCTCAGGGGATGCCTTCTGGCCTTCCGAGTTATGCGTATCGACAGCGAAAGGCTCCGAGTGTTTACGATCACTGTGTGTTGTTCCAGATGACCCTGACATCCAACTGTGAGTACCTACCTACGCTGAGGATCATGGGATCTGGACATGGCGCAGCACTCTCTAGTTCTCCCGTTGTTCGCTTCGCTCTGAAGAAAAGCGAGCTCCTGGCGGTTTCTCTCAAGAGCGCAGTAAGTTCAGCTGCTATCTTTGCACCGAAGTTACTGCCAGTATATACACCTTTTGCATGTAGCCTCTCACCCAGCCACGGTTATCGCCCTATCCGGTATGCGTTCCGAAAAATAAAAAGCAAAAGATTACAACACCGAACTAATAAAAAAGTATAGAAGTGTCATAACAAGAACGACTGATGGTTGCAATTAAATTGTTAACACGTTCTACTGTCGAGGCGAGAAGAAAGCAAGGTTTTCACGCATACCGGAAGTACTAGAATTGAAGATTGCGGCACCCACTTAGGAAAGGTATACAAGAGCGGTACAAATTTCGATGGTCGCTGCAAAATAGCTTGGCCTGAATTTTTGCAGTAGCGCTCGATGCCATAAGCGAGGTAGGGCTGCATTTTCTAATGACACTTCAATTCTGATTGCTTTGATTGAGTGGAGATAATTAGCAAGAAATAAATTAGCATCAGTCAGAGGATTAAACTCAGTACATAATGTAATCCGGCCTGTGCTTTTTCCAGGTACCAAACAGCATGAGGGCCTCGGCCAGGCAGTTCCTTCTTGTTAGACGATACGTGATGAAAAGGTAAGCTGCAAGTTTATATTGGGCTCCGTGCTTTGTGCAGTGTACTATTAATTCTGTTTCTATGACATGAGGCTGGAAAGTTGGGGAGGGAACAGGTATGAAGGATGTCTGCATCCATGCTATCGTATGACCACGTCCCTTGCGATATCTTTGTTACTTTTGTGTCAGGTAAAATAGTACGAGTTGTTCAGCCTGTGCGTTTTCTTGTGTGTCTCGGGATTATGCCTTCGCACATTATGAGGCCACGGAGTGATTCCTGGGAAGCTGGCCGGATGCTGTGGTTGAACTGTTCGTTTTACAGACAACGTAATGATATGCTGCAGACGCTCTTCACTCTGGTGCTTTTTTTCTTATAGCGGCACGTTTTGCAAGGAGGACCTCGTCCCCACCTCCGGACCCCGAGGGAATCAACGCCCGAAACTCTCGAGGGGTCAGCCAAGGTCGCAGCCAGCAGGAGTTCGGAGCCGCTTTCCCCGAACAGGGAACAGCATCCGTCCTTCTCAAGATCCAGGTCTCACCAATGGCGTCCCAGCAGTGACCTCTAATGCCCACCCAGTCTTGGATCCACCAGTGCGGTTCCCCAGCATGCGCAGGGCACCGCCGAACTCGCTCTCAGGGGCCACCTACACGCCGCTGATGTGCGTACGACCAGAGATGGCGGCTCCCCTCCGGTGCCCGGTCTGTCCCCAGCAGATGCATGCAACACCGAGGCCTGGCGGGCAGCTTGAACAGCCCTTCACAAGGAACGGGATGTCCAGCCTGTGCAAGAGGAGCTTCTTCAAAGCCCGCGTCTTTACAAGAACCGACTTGGTCTTTCCGAGCAAATGCCAGCTACCCGGGCCTCCGTCCGTTCCACTGTGTCGGGCTCGTCTCGCTTCGCCGCTGTGGGTGAACTACGATCTGCCACCCAGCAGCCACGGCGCCTTTGCTGGTCTATATTGGTCACGATAAAATGTAGAATTTGCTCCCCTTCTTAGGAGATATCAGTATTTTGGATGTAATAATAAATATCAGCATGCAAATTGTATTGTGTGCTCTGTCTTGTGTGTTATGGCCAGTTACCGAACAACATGGGGACTGCCTGCCAATTTAGCGCCGGAACAAGATACAGGAATCGCGTTTATATTGCCCTGCGTGTCTCCGATTGAGCGCGTGCGTGGCCGAATGGTTAGAGCGCTTGACTGTCGCGCGGAAAGTCGGTGTTCGATTCCTAGGCAGTGGAATGTTCTTCTCTTTGTAATTTCAAGTTGGCTTCCTCGGAAGTCCGAGAACATTATAGGCTGATCGAGCTCCGAATGCTCTACGCGCCGAACGTTCTGTGTCGAATATTGCGGAAATTCACGCGTGTACATAAGTGCCCCGCGTGGTGAGCCGGTGTCACTCTCGCCCCAGCGTCCGATCCTGCTGCTACTCAGTCCTTCCTCCTTCCTTGTTTCGTCACATCACATTCGTGACAACATGGAGTGATGTAGAAACTACGTGTTAGGCTGCACCTCTGTACAAATCGCACCAGCGGAATTTATAGTTATGTGCTTTCGCGTGTTTTATCCGTTGTCAAACGAAAAAAACAAAGACTTCGAAACGTTTTCTTTTTTTTTTTTTTTTTTTTTTTGAGACAGGAAATTTATGAGGGCATACGTGGTGCAGGAGCAATTCCACCTGTGTAATGACGTCTTGTTAAAGATAAGCGTGATTTTAAGGCGAAAACTATCATTGCTTTATGATCACATTCCATCGTCCTATAGTCTTTAATTATTTTATGCCCACTTGAGCTTTCGCGTTTCTTGAATTTTCCCGAGTGCGGCCGCTCAATAAATCGGACCCTAGGTGTGCCCGTCTCGTTCTCACAACGCGCGATATGAGGTACTCACTGCTTGTGCGACTCTTGAAAGGAGACGGTGGTGTCGGGTGACATAAACAAAGAAGTGAGTACGAACTCATGCTGTACGCCAGTTCGGCCTTACTTGGCACAAGGCGAACACCGGCACAAAGTGCACGCACTCCAGAGCTTCCCTCCGAACCAATAAACCGAGGCTGTTTGTTTCTTTTCGTGAAAAAGGAATGTGTGGTCTCTGATTATGCCTTCTGTCGACACTGGCTAAGTATTATTGCACCCATGAAAGCTATACCACCGATTTTACATAACAAACATGATAATCTAATCAGACGTTTCGTCTCCCATACAGCAGACATAATCGGTGATACCAATAAGTTTACAGGAGCGAAAAACACCACAGCCTCAAAAAAGATCGTCCGTGATTTAGCTTTTCTGCGGAGCACGGAGACATCCAATGGCGGCGAATGATAGAAGGATCGCGAAGAAATGACGAAGCATTGGAATTTAATTAGATATGAAAATAAAAAAAAACCTTTCAGCCTCTCCACTTTAGTGAAGAAGGAAGAGTCGCGGAGCTGCAGCTTCTCTTCTCGGCGGTGGCTTTGCAGGAGAGCAATCTGCTCTTCTTTTGCAAGGGACTCTGAAGCGCCCGGCGCAGAGTAACTTTAGGTGATACTGGCCTCGCGGCGGTTACGAAACCATTCGCGCTGCCGCACACTTCGCCATTCCTTCCGTTCCCGTTGTCCTTCCGCCGAAGAAATGTTGCCGCGATCTATGAGCGATGGCCATAGAGTAATATAGTAAACGTAAAGAGAGGACACACGAGCCGATTCGTGGCCCAGAGAGTGCATTTAATACCCTCCGCTACGTGGCGCTTTTCTGCAATTTGGTTAAAATTAATTAAATCTCTTTCTGTGAAAAGTATTTCTGTTTTAGATGGCAATGCTTTGAAATTGTTTAAAGTACTTAAAACGACTAAATAGTTTTATCAAATACGTCACAAAAACCACGTGATGAATGGTGCCTGCCATGGCCTGCCTGCCTGCACGCCGTCGCCTCTGCATCATCCTGCATGGCCTCTGCTCGTTCCTACGTGGCTCGTCTGTGCCGTGCGTGCCGTCCATCTGTGCTTTCTGCTGCATCATGTTCGGTCGACTTTGCACCAATCAAGGTGACGCATGACTGCCCGCGTGCTCGCATGCTCGGCGTGAATTTGTGGAGCCGATCGGTTCGAGCTTCTCGCGCTGTTGTTTCTGCCGGGCTGTCTGGCTGCACTTGAACGTGTGTGTATGTTGATTTTCAATGAGATTGTTTAAAAAAAAAAGAATTTAACTTACGACCCTGCACACGACATTGTCCATGGGTTTACAGATGACGGTGTTGATGAACCTCTAACATTGCAGATAGAGCCTTGGTTGTTATGCTTTCTGAAATTTCCAGGGTGTGTGTTTAGCCCCTTGCATACACTGTTTTGCACACTCCAATAACGTCTTCTGTTTAACGCAGTCTCCTCATTTCTCTCATTCGGGAGCTTAAAGGGGCGGTGCAATGATATTCAATTGGAATGTTTTTAACTTTACACGAGCTTGCTGGCACTAGTGGCACTCAAGGATACTCGCACGCAACGCCACTGACCAAGAAACTCCTTTGTTGCGCTGTAATTTCGAGTGTTTTCATTCAATCTCTCCTTCGAAAAACCTGATGACGTATCTGGGCGGTAGCAGCACCGCCCAGTGACGATATTTTAATACGGCTCATAGAATGGACCCGAGCATGGCGTGACACTCGATTTGGGCTCGTGATAATCGATAGCTCGGGAAATATTCGGGTAGTGTCCTGTGTCCAATCGCTGCAATGACGGCAACAGCCGAACCATAACAATGTCTGAAACTCAGTGCGTGTCCTGTGCCTTGCCAACCCCAGCGCATGGTTATGATCAACATTGGCGGTATATATTCGGCTCCAGATCACGGGGCCGCTTGTTCTGGCTGCGAGTTGAGGGGGTAAACTCTGCTCGTTTTTCTTAATTTTTTTCTGCGACTTCGATTGCGTGTGGTGAAAACGAAAGGGTATTTTACAGATAATTAACGTCAAGGATTCGTTCTAAGCGGTATTTGTGCAAAATACAAATATCAGTGCATCGCCCCTTTAAGACTGTTGGCTTCACAGTAAAGGCTGTGGTCTGTGGTTCAGGGGGCTTCAAACGTAAGCTTGGTGTATGCGGTGATAAGCCATTTTTTGAAGTTGACAACGAACACGCTTACTTTGTCTTTGATGTTCCGCACCTTCCCAAAACAACCAAGAGCAATCTCCAAGCCTACAATCTTTGCATTGGAAATGAGGTCATTGAGTGGTCTTCAATTGTTGGACTTTATTGTTCTATTCATGATATGAGCTTGCAATTGGCTCTGAAGCTTACTGAGAGACACATTTTTTCCAGAACCTTTCTGTAACGTGGAAGAAAATTGTGCCCCACAGGTACTGAGTGCCTCACTCTTCCTTGCAATCATATCCCTTGTTTATGCCAAGGAACTTCCTGAGGCAGCCATTGCTACAGCCTATTTCTGTGATAGGATGTGCATACTTTTAGAGCGCAGCTCTTAGGGGCCCGTTCCCCACTTGAGCGGCGTCGCCGTCGGCGTCGCCGTTGGCGTCGGCGTAACCAAGGTCATTCCAAGGTCACGTGGCCCCCAAGGTCATCCCAAGGTCACGTGACCCCGAGGTCACGTGACACCCAAAGTCACGTGATCCCCCTGAGGTCACGTGACCCCCCGAGGTCACGTGACCCCCCGAAGTCACGTGGCACCCCCAGGTCACGTGACCACCCCCAGGGTCACGTGACCCCCGCCGAGGTCACGTGACCTCCCCGATGACGTCATCGTCACTGATGACGTCACCGGCATCCGCATCGTCATCGTCATCATCACTGATGACGTCATCAGTGACGTAACTGATGACGTCACCGGCATCCGCATCATCATCGTCATCATCACAGATGACGTCATCAGTGACGTCACTGATGACGTCACCGACATCCGCATCGCCATCATCGCTGACGACGTCATCGGAGTCTCATCGTCATCGTCACTGATGACGTCATCAGTGACGTCACTGATGACGTCATCAGTGACGTCACTGATGACATCATCGGCATCGTCACATGACCC